GATTGAATGTAAATCAGTTTATTTACATTCGTATTACATTATTATATACGTTGCGACCCATTTGTGTCAAATATTAGCGATTTAGCTCCTTTAAAGGGACAATAACACTCTTGCTGGCTTGAAAGCTCCAGAAAATAAATAATATCTCTATCTAAGTACTAGATGTTTAAGTGTCCTACCTGTTGTGTACATTATCCATTACATCCTATTTTACTTGTCCAGAGGGTTCGAAAATATTTTTAAATCGAAGTTTCATTTGAAAAGGTTTACGTTAGACGTTTCAAACCATTATGTTGAATTTTTCAAAATTTTTAAATAAGGTGTGTTAAGATGAAATTTGTATCATCAATTAATTGAAATATTCTAAAATAGTACAATTTATTGACCAGAATAAAGATTGGGACATATTATTCAGTTACAACAAGAGTGGTATTGAGCCTTTAAAAATGAGTGATGCGAGTCCATTAAGAGCAAAGTAAAGTGACACCATTTTGTCCCAACACCTGAAATGGGAGGAGGAGGGTTCAAAAAGGCATTTACACTAGCTTTAATGCCAATATGTTTGTATCTACATGTGCCTGAGATGACACAGAACAATAAAAAATGGATGGAAATCCAAAATAATGACATTGAAAAAAAATATTTACCAAATAATGAAGCATATTGCTAATTCAGGACAGGACTGCACAGCTACAAGCTTTGTAAATAAAAACACAGGAAAATTAAACAGGCTAAAAGTTGTTCAGATAATCAAACTCCAACCATCAAGACTTGAAATCCTAAAACTTTGTTATAGGTCCTCAAAGTTTTCAAATATTTTGCAAACAAAAGGCCATTTTGTTCCATGGACTAATTTCACTGCAGATGTATGGTGTACCACTAGTGACACAGTGAACAGCAATATTATCGCTATGATATGAGGTACACAAAGCTATGAATGTGACTGCATAGAGAGATGAGCTTGGTGTCCCCTGATACAAACTAGGTCATTTCGAGACTTACACATGGTTCAACTTTATTTCAACAATTTTCTAGCGCGCAGGGGTCTTTAACAGTAGGAGGACACAGCAGGACTTGGAGAAAACACACGAGGTTGGACAGGCGATCCTACTCCCTGTCACGTACAGCCGGGGAACCGAAACAACGCCACTTGACTCAGTGATAGGGCTGGGTATCGATAGTGATTTTTACTATCGATAATCGGCAATGAAATGTCGGTCGATAATCGATAGTATCGAAAACAAACTTATTTTCACGGTCGTCATCAAGACTGGATACAGTGTAAGTTCAAAGTTCAAAACCATACGAAGTTGCGAAAGATCGTTTATTTGCTCCTGTCTAAGGAGATTTATTTGGAAAACATTAATAAAACTTGTTATATCACGTATATATACGTAAATTGATGTTGTTTATTATTAAAATAATGCAGACGTGGTTCCGAATGAAGAAATATCGTAAATAATTATGTTAAGGGACCAACCAAAATGAACTTGTTCGGATTCAAAACATTGCGTACGTGCGCGCGAAAATATCAATATGGCAGACGAATTCTGAAGCTTGCAAAGGGAAATAACTCTAACTTTATTTACACATCCGGGTATCTCCGATTTAGCGATATTCAACAATAATTTCTTCAAAACTAAAGTAACGTTTCAATGAGAGTGAATTTATGAAAACGGCTGTTCAATAAGCAGTCACAATTTTGTTATGTGTTACATTGATACTTGATAGTAATTAAAGTGAGCGGTGTATTATGATTAACTGAAAGAAAACATTGACATTTCAGACGCAAGAAAAATAGACGAAGAGCGATAATCGATAGTAACCCACCGCTATCGATAGTGCTTTTCTGGGCCGTCCAATCAATACTATCGATTTATATCGATATTTTACCCAGCCCTACTCAGTGACAGACCTTTTGGTCAAATGCGCAAACGTTAAACTTTCGGCCACCCAATTTACTTAAAGATACATTATGGGAGATTAGATAAAGGGCTTGCAGTTCTCACTATAATAGTTAAAAACTAGATAATGTAAAGCGAATTTGCTCAAAATTTCAGTCAGATTGATCAACCCTGAACCGAGTATTTAGCGATTGAATTTTGGGTATAGCCTCGATCATCATTACTAAAGTTGGTACGATAAAAAACATAGTCTCAATAATCCATTTTTTGATTTAATCAGAATCAGCAGACCGGGTTCCAATCCAGTAAATATCGCAGGCTAGCGATGCCACCGAGAGTTGATTATGGTCTGGATAAGTTAATTAATGTCTACATAATCATTTAGATAAAGAATGGCCCAAAGAAAGACCATTGGCAGATATAGCTCTTAAATAATATATGTTTAACAAGCAATTCATCTAATGTACAGGTATGCACATCAAGTGGAATTTTTAATCTACATTTACAATTTGTTATACCCACCTGTTATTATATTATAGTCAACAAATCCTTAATCACATTTCAGTTCCTGGCATTCATTCGACAAGTTTTCCTATATTTCTGAAAAAGAAATAATATAAAGGCGTATTTTTCAATTAATTTTCTAAATACAACACAAATACAAATTCTATAATTAAACATCAATATACATGTACATGTACTGGTAATTTGCGGTAAAGACTTCAATGTGTCATGTGTAAAGCATTCAGCATTATTTGCAAAACTTTCACATGGGAAGTGATATCAGATGTTCTAGTTAATTAGATGCTGACATACATGAATCACATTCATTCGCAGATGTAGAATTTACATGTCTTCTAGAAGGGTTGGTACAATGTAGATTTGAAAAGGTGCCAACAGGTTTTGTGTAATAGTGATATTTTTGGGTTGTGGAAAGAAGAGTGAGCATACCCTACTCATGCACAATACTCATATTCACATATTTTATTTGAATATTGAATAGGATTTTTTTTATGTTTTGGGATTTTTTTTCATATAATTCGGCAAAAAGTGCCATTTTAAAGTTATTTTTGATCGTAAATGCCACATAATTTGTAATGCTGCTTTAAATTCCGAAGAGATCTTAGTTTTACGTGTATATCTGTCAAATTATACAATATTAAAGCAACACGTCCACCATTATATGCGTAGATTATCTTGTCCGATTCAGTGAAAAAAAGAATACAAATGTATGGGTATGTCAATGAAAAGTTTATATGAAACAAATCTTAAACGACACATAATTATAATAATATAATTATTATATAATGATTTTAAATATAAAAAACAACAAACCGAGTCTTAAATAAAGTAAGACACAAAAAATAATTTAATAGTATAGGGTAAACTTTATAATTTTAACTTATACAAAACCCACAAAATGTAGCACTATAGAAGAAACTAAAAAAAAATATCAAACAATTAATTTTCAAGTTGATAATAATGCATTTTGTCAAAGGTTTAATTTCAGAAAGCCCAGTACGTGATTAGGCAAATAATAGAAGACTGGCGTCTTTGGCAGGTGCTACCTGTGGCGTTCCGTAGTCACAAACAAAATACAGGAAAAAACCCATTAAAAGCTATTTTTTCGCAAATGGATACCACCACAATAAACGTTGCAATGCAAGAATGCAGTCTCTACTTACCAATAAGAAAATAAAATTTATTCAACGAATTTGAAACCATTCGTCGCCAAAACCACGTGTACCAACTTTTTTGACAGTTCGTCCCATCTTTCTAAAAAAAAACACTCAACATTTCCAGACATTGGCATTCCGATCACAAACGACATCGATGTTACATGATGCCACAGTAACTTTCAAATCTTCTCCTTACAAACCATCCTCTCAATATATTTACAAAATACAGCTGTTGTCAATTTTTTAATTTGTAGACATTTGGAGGCCGAAACCTTCTGGAAGCTCTGCAGCGAATCGCGATAATCCGATCAATCTAAATTCCATAAGTTATACTTCACCAACAATTTGTAATATATTCAACACACTCTTACTGTTATGTGTCAAACAGTATGTACATAATATGACCACATATTAAAGCAAATTATAAACCTGGGCTAATGAAGACGGGCATACGCCATACAGTGTGCTATGAGGGAAATTTTGCCCGGACAGCGGCACTACGGCCTACTCTTATATCGAATTCCAACTGCCAAGGGATCTTTTACGTGCACGCCAATGTGTACACGGGACCTCGGTTTTTCGTCCCATCCGAACGACTAGACAGCTTTCCTTGTCAGCCCCTCCGTCCTGCATCACTGACCCAAAAACTCATTGAACCCGGAGTAATGCCTGTAAAGGATGAAGGTCATTTGCGCTGTCTTCGGAAGCATAGGTTGCATTTAATGGGTGATCAGAAAGAAAATGCAATGGTTAGGGCTTTAAAAAATATATAAGTATGTAAATAATTGATTTCCCTCGATTTGTATTTCGATCAACCTGACGATTTTTTGTGCTTTAGCCATATGTCAACAGACGGTCACTGGAGAAGAAGGCTGACACGAAATACCATCGGGATTTTTCGGCTTGGTTCCCATTGTCAACTGTCTAGTCGTTCGGATGGGATGGAAAACTGTGATCCTGTAAAAGATCCCTTGGCAGTTGGAATTCGATATAGAGCGGAGCGGTAGGACATTAAACCCCACTTTATTCATTTCATTTACTCGCTGAGAAACAGAAGAAGAACAACGTTAATATAAAAAATATTTTATTTGCTCCTGTACACCGAAGAATACTGATGATAGATGATAATACTACATGTACAATAAATATCAACATGTAATAATACAAATACATATTATACAAGTTTTGTATAAAAAAAAATAAAAATGCGAGGGTATATAAATATGTACAAACTTTATATAAGAAAATAAAAATGTAATGATATATAAATATGTAATGAGGCATATAATAATTAAAATAACAAAACAAATCAAAATACGCAATGAGGCATATTATGATTAAAAAACAAATCAAAATACGTAACGAGGCATATTATGATTAAATTAACAAAACAAATCAAAATACGTAACTAGGCATATTATGATTAAAATAACAAATCAAAATACGTAATGAGGCATATTATGATTAAAATAACATAAGTTCCATACGTAACACGGGTTATAAATATTTCAAATGAATAATAAATCAATTGGAAATGTAATTCCATTTTAATCAAAATCGATAAAAAACAATATAAGTTATACCTAAAAATATGACGGTCATTGTGTCTAATCCCTTCATTTTGTTAGTCAAAATTCTAGAGAGTTAATTATTTGCTTATCATGTGAATAAATGTGCAATAATAGTTTATATAACATTCAAGCTAGAATAAACGAGTTATTTGCTTATCATGTGAATAAATGTGCAATAATAGTTTATATAACATTCAAGCTAGAATAAACGAGTTCGATCGTACTATTGACCAGGAACTGACCAAATCGATGCAGAATTGTTCAAATAACAGGCATGGTAACTATCACGTCGATCGGACAGGAATTGGCGGAGCCTTAGGTTTTTTTTGGAAGAGTGTCACCCCATAAACAACAGCAAGAACAAGGCGAGTAGCTGTGAGCGACCAGTTGCTGGTCCAAAAATCTGTAATACCGGTAGTTAAATTTAGCTCTGACACAGCACCCTCTTTAAAAATATTTTAGGAAAGATATAAAATACGATATACGAGCATCTTCACTTGCTCGAGATTCTAACACACTCATTAATAGTCTTTTCATATAAAAAATAATATAAATGTGGATTTGAAAACCCATAGGTTTTGTGTAGAATAATTTTGGAATTTTTTTTTTTCGATTTGTTAGAAATAAACAATTAAAGATGGTTGATGTAATAACGTTTCACTGTGAAACAAAAATATACAAAGAGTTTCGGAACACCTGATGCCAGTCGGCCATTGGGATTCCAGTTAGAGATGAGGGATATTAACATCGATCCGGCCAACAAACAGATCTACAATTTCTTCTCCTTAGTTGTTCTCCTCTTACACACCTTGATTTAGAATCTGGTGTTTGTCACTGATGAATATGAAATTTGATTAGTTGTATTTATTAGTACGTTATATCAAACTACATGTATATAAATATTTTTAGTAATATCAAGTATTTGTCACCGTGTATAATAGGAGGGTTGAATGGCCGAATGGTTAGCACGTGCGCGCGCTGTATCACACGGTCTGTAATTGAGTCAACTGGCGGGGTTTCGATTCCCCAGTTCTACGTGACAAGGAGTGGGGTCGCCTGTCCAACCTCGTGGATTTTCTCCGGGTTCTCCGGTTTCCTCCCACTGCTAAAGACCCCTACGCACAAGCGAATTATTGAAGTAAAATAAATGAACCATGTGTTAGTTCCGGAATGACCTAATTCGTGTCGGGTGGACGTTAAACCCCATTTCTCTCTCTCTCTCTCCCTCTATTATTTTCATTCTCTCTCTCTCTCCCTCCCCCTCTCTCTCTCTCCCTCTCTCCCCCCTGTATAATACCACTGCAGACTTCCGTCACGTGTTCTCCATATTACCGGGGCCACGCTGGTTCAGTGAGTACGGTGTAAGCTCACTAACCAGGAGATCGTAGCTCCGACCCAGTCTCAGGATTCCTTTTGTCAGTGTTGCGGCACGGACGACCAGGTAAGGAAAACACGCCCAGTCTTTGGTATGGGTAAAACAAAGGGAAAGTAACCTACATACTTTGTCTTAGGACAAAGTCTCCTAGCGATTATCTAAAGACACGTATGTAGCCAAGGTCGATAAAATTCAGCGATGAAAGATGTCGGTCGATAAACGTGTCCCCTGTTTAGTTCAACGTGAATTCATACTTCGTAAATAACGTGATATGGAGATATGCATAATTACAACAACGGGTAAGTCCGATCAATTATCGGTGGCAAAATAGCTTTTACGTGGCCGTTTATTGTTAACATAATGTGAAACAGGTATGTGCAATGCAAGCACCTGCTATTTATATTATGCTGCCATACTGTGTTGAAGTGCTGCCATGGCAAACCCCACTTTAGTATATAATAATACCGCATAACTTGCCCATAAAATAAAATAAATATAAGTTGTTAGTTGCAAAATAATGTAAAAACAAACATATCCTACCTGGCTCAATGGAGACTTGGGGTCTTTTTATTCTATACTGAAAGAGAAACACATAAAATATTTTAAGCTATTTTTACACTATTTTGTCTAAGTCTACTCACTTGGTGAGATAAGCGACCCTGTTGCTAGTCGTGTATAAATCCGGGATCAAATACACGACTGGCATAAATTACAGATCTTCAGATCTACAGTACAAGCATTAGACCACTTGGCTACGCACCTCCCCAAGTGGAACAAAATAGCTCTAGTACCGTATCTGAAAATGATCAGCAAAATGTATAGTAGTCTGTTGTATTCGGTTTAACGTCATATATTGACGAAATAAAGGTATTAAGAATTGCATGCCATATTTTAACTACAAAAGTCTTTTTATTTCCGAGGAGGGAGCTACGGTAGTTCACAGTCTTCGATTTTCCGTTGTGGTTCCCCTGGTCAGTGGTGTAGATGGACGACCCGACACGGAACAACGTATAGTCGTTCGGATGGGATGTAAATCCGAGGTCCCTTGTTGGTGTGTACGTAAAAGAAACCCTGACAGAATTGGAAATAAGAGCAGACCGTAGCGCCACGGTCCGGGCACACTGTATGATGTATGCTGGTACTCATTATCCCAGAAGAAAACATTTCGAAACCCGGCACTAGGTCAGAGTAATAATCAAAAAACAAAATGAACTACTTACGTCCATTTGGGGATCTATGTATTCATAGGATGATGAAAATGTAGTAACCTCGGCATGTGTCCTGCTGCTATTTAGCCCATCATCATTATCTGGATAACCACGATATCTTGGGTCAGCTTCATGTAGATGATCATACCCAGACGGTTGATAGACCTGAAATATTATGAAACGTGTTTATATCTTCGCCAACATTTTCGTCAACATTTTGAACTTTAAAGCATGTGGAACTGCAATAACAAATGCTCTTGACGTCTATGGCAGAGCAGTGCGATCATTCCAACACCCCCTACTGTCCACATAGCAATTCCAAAATCCCGATGGAAATAGCTACTCGGCTTCAACCCCAAATTATATTATAACTAGTTGTCCCAGGACATACGTTAGTACATATAACAATGTCTTTTCCTGATTTAGAGAAGAAGGTCTTTAATCGATTCAGATGTCATCGTTTTCACCCAGTGCTTGTATATGAAAACACCCTGCACGTTTCAAGTCAGTAGCTTGAAGCGTATATATGGTATTAGTGTCAGTGGCTTGTGGCACGAAATAACAGTATATTGTCGCATACATAATATATTATGTCAACGCTTGGGCGACATAATATATTGTGTTGACGCTCCAAGCGTGTTAGCATATTAGACCTGTAGACTCAGTGGAATGTACGCGTCATCAGAGCGGATCCAGGGGTTGGACCATGGGGACCGGTCCACCCCCTTAACAATAGAAAGTGTCCCTGTAAATAAAAGAGGGCATCCTTATCAGAAAAAGGGCACCTGTGATGTCAGAATTTCAAAAAAGGGCACTTTTCTTTCGGATTAGGGTTAGGGTTAGGGTTAGGGTTAGGACACAGAAAAGAGAGAAAAAACAGAAAAGAAAAAAACAATCGAAACTTACCGATTCCATGATGGAAAATACCGCCAAAATATGTCTCCAAAGCATTCATTGGTTATCAAAGCGCCAATTAAATCTATCGTTGCAAGTTCATGCCTAGTCACCTCCATCCTAGTTCCAAGCGTTGACATAATATATTATATCGCCCAAGCGTTGACATAATATATTATGTATGCGACAATATACTGTTACTTCGTGCCACAGGCCACTGACACTAATACCATATATACGCTTCAAGCTACTGACTTGAAACGTATCGCCTGATGAAAAGGCCTAGCTAAGCATAGCGATTTAATTAAATTTGAGAATATTACTCCCGTCAAAAGTCAAAACCTAGTAACTCGCTTTTTTTTTCTCAAAATTCAGTTAGGACCAAATTTGTAGTTACTAGGGTATGTGCTTCCGGTTGTTGTACTAGATATTCTTATTGTTTGCACCCATGACGCAATCTAGCAACTTCCTTCATTTGACTAGAATGCCATATAAAAACTTGGTAATTCAATAGTCAAATCAATGGTTAAGCTGGGGTTTAATATTCATTCATTACGTTTTCCTTTGTTTTCTCAAAATAAGACAAACGTGAGTTACCAGGTGTTGCCATTTGACGGTAGATTACTACTTACAGTATTAGTGACACCGCCATCTTTTAGTTCTCCATAGCGGTTTATTTTGTCTTCTTGTCGTTGTGAATATTCCTGTAGTGAAATGTCACCAGGATTATATGAAGCATCATCAAAATCCTTCTGGTATCCCCTGAAAATACAGTATCCATAATAAACAATATGCACGAATTTCGGTCCGAACATACACCCGCTAACCGACATTTAAATTATGGTAGCCAGTATATGTTCTATCAAAAGAAATTTTCCAATTTTATAATGCCATTTGTACATGATGAAATTCTTAAAAAATAGCCGACTTGTTCCCACTTCAAACCTATCCGTCATCTTCAAGCTTTATGGGTGATCAAGCTTCTGTATAAACAACCCTGTTTCAGTGGGTGTTACTGTTGACCCAGAATGTTCCATGGGATTTTCCAGCGTGATTTCCCCTTGTCAGTGGTGCAGGATGGAGGGCCTAACAAAAACAGAGAATATGTAAAAGAGCCCTTGACAGTTCAAATTCGAAAAAAGAGTAGGCCGCAGTGAAAAATGTCCATCGTAACACACTGCATGGTGTACGCCTATCGTTATGAGCCCAGTCGGTGCAGACCAGTAGGGACGTTAAACCCCATTTCATTTAATATCTATTTTGCCCTAAATCAAAGAGGCTTAGTTCATGTCAGTCTAAAAGAGAACTAGGATAATGAAGATGGCAATGAGAACCTACCGTTCTGAACTCTTCCCAGATCTCTGACAGTAACAGATGAAGGCTATTGTTAATATAATCAGTAGAACAACTCCAACAGCTGCTGTGATACTGACAAGTATTTCCCACTTTATGTTACTATTTTCACATTTATCACCATAGTAACTATATAAATCATCACTGGAACACCTTTATATAAAAAGTATATAAACATTATATTACTATTTTCACACGTATCACCACAGTAACTATATAAATCATCACTGGAATACCTTTATATAAGAGAGAGAGAGAAATGGGGTTTAACGTCCACTCGACACAAACTAGGTCATTTCGGGACTAACATATGGTTTAATTTTATTTACATAATTCGCTTGCGCGTAGGGGTCTTTAGCAGTGGGAGGAAACCGGAGGACCCGGAGAAAACCCACGAGGTTGGACAGGCGACCCAACTCCTTGCCACGTACAACCGGGGATTCGAAACCACGCCAGTCGACTCAATGACAGACTTTATGATACAGCGCGCATACGCTAACCATTCAGCCACCCAACCCCCCACCTTTATATAAAATATATATAAACGTTATATTACTATTCTCACATTTATCACCATGGTAACTATATAATTTATCACTGGAACACCTTTATATAAAAAGTATATATACATTATATTACTATTTTCACATTTATCACCATAGTAACTATATAAATTATCACTGGAACACCTTTATATAAAAAGTATATAAACATTATATTCACATATCAGTCACCATAGTAACTATATAAATAATATTCTTTTAGAGGCATTTAGTAACTGGATAGAGCAATAAACTATAACACATACTTATGGAAGAACAATTACTGATTTATTTGGGCGACGTTTCGAAGAGTATTCTCTCAACGTTTTCAAGCAAGTACAGTAACAAATGTGTAGAGCAATTATATATAGACAAGCAATAACAACAATTCAGAAACCATGCATGACAACAACAAGATCAAAGGATTAAAAAAAACAACATGATCAAAGGCAATATACATATGACGGATTATAGGGGTAAATAATTTTAATTGGACAACCAATCATGACAAATGAGAAACCATACATGATGTGATTGGCTAGGTGAGGGTACATCAAGGGAATAATAAAGGACTGATGATAGGGGTAAACATACCATTAAATCAAACAAAAGGGAAGCCATACATGTTACGAAAACATCAGAGGAGTAGTGGCTACATAGGGATTAAATGGTTAAGCCATATTTAAGTGAATTACAAAATATTAGTATTAAAATGCACACAACATAGCACAACTAATGATAGTCCAACATTCTTCCTTCCGACAGACTCACACATACATTTATTCCTAGGATAAGTACAAGAGACACTTAACTGTTTACAAAGGATAATTACATAAATGACCATAAATAAGTGGTAAATTATAAATATTGGAAAGCCACACCACAGTCCTATCCACAGGCTTCTAAGTAATTATGTCCTGTACACTCCTTCCCATTAGACACACACACTTATTAAGATTAGTTCTACAAATGGATAACGAGAATAAACAAGTAATACACATGATACGCAAACTGAATAACTTAAGCACGTATGGAAGTGTAGGCATGTACACATTAGTTGAGAATTAGTTCATCATAGGCTCTTGGGAGGAATATTCCTGTGTCGCGATTGAGGTCTGGTTTGGATCTCCTGATGTGTATTGCTTCCATGATTTTCCGCGTCTGTTCGTTGTGTTGGTTGAGGGCTAGGGTCTTAGAGGACTGGGTTTTGTGGCCTGGATTGGACTGGAGGTGCTGGGCAACTGCTGATTCTGCTGTGGGGGACCTTGAGTTATGCTGGGCGAGTCTTTTAGGTAGGGGTTGTCGAGTTTCACCAATGTATGTCATATCACACGAGCACACAACTTCATAGACACATCCTTTTAAGTGGCAGTGGAATGGTGGGTTGCAGTTTACCATTCGCTTTCAGGTGGTCAGGTGATGAATTGATCATGGTTGACTGGACGGTTCGTTGGGGTGAACTTCAGACCTCGGGACAGTAGTGTGATCTGGTCATCGGTTAGATTGCGACTGCTCAGGTTGATAACCTACGTGAAGATAAACTCTCTGATCTGAAGGACCTCATGTCCCCAGCTGACTTCCATCAGTTCCGCACCAAGCAGCTAAAGTCCCTAGAAAATCTTAGAGAAACGACTCGCTCCAACCATCTGAAGAAATTTAATAACCTCAAGACCACCCCGTCGTCCCCCACAACAACCAAGACAACCAAAGAAGATTTTCTTACTAAAACAGTCATCAACCTGAGCAGTCGCAATCTAACCAATGACCAGATCACACTACTGTCCCGAGGTCTGAAGTTCACCCCAACGAACCGTCCAGTCAACCATGATCAATTCATCACCAATATAGAGAGAGGCTTAAGACAGTTAGCACCTGGCGGGAAGATCGATTTTCTTAGACACCAAGTCACCAACCTCATAACTAAGTCTAAGACTCAACGACCATCCCACAACTTAACCCAGGCCCAAAATACAGCCCTTAAAGAGTTGAAGAAAGACCAGACTATCACTATAGTAGCTGCAGATAAAGGAAAATCAACTGTCATTATGGACAAAAGTGACTACCATGAAACCGTCTCCCTTCTACTGTCCGACCGCATCACCTACAGAAAGTTAAGAAAAGACCCAACTAAGGCCCACAATGACAACCACACAGCTCAACTTACTAACCTGAAGACCCAGAACCGACTAACACCTTCGCTTTTCTACAAGCTCAAACCCTCCCATCCAAGACCACCTTATGCCAGGGCAACCATCAAGACACACAAAAACCCCATCAAAGCTAGATTATTAGTTTGTTCCCGTGACTCAGCTTATTATAACACCTCACAACACTTATCAAGACTGCTGTCCCCATTAGGTAAAGAAGCAGACTCCTTCATTAAAGATTCAAAAGACTTTTGCAACAAATTACAAAACCAACCCCATGATGTACAGATCTTATCTTATGGTGTTATTGACTTATTCACCAATATCCCCCGTGAAGATGCCATAACAGTAATCCGACGAGACTAAACAACTTAGAAACTCCATTAGAAACCAGTTTAACAGTCGAGGACATCATAGAACTAACCAAAGCATGCATCGAATCCACATACTTTGCATGGGGAGATGATTTTTATGAACAGACACATGGTTTACCAATGGGAAGTCCCCTTTCCCCAGTGCTTACCGAGATTCATTTGACAAACTTTGAAGAGGTGGCCCTGTCAAGATCACCTGTCCAGCCGATAGCTTGGTTTCGAAAAGTTGATGATACTTTCGTAATCCTTGACCAAAATGATGATCCAGACACCCTTCTCCAGCATTTAAACAACCAGAATAATAGAATTAAGTTCACTATTGAAAAAGAAAATAACCAGTGCCTACCCTTCTTAGACGTCCTTGTTACGAAAACAGACACAGGACTCACCACTAGTGTATACAGAAAACCTACCCATACCGACCAGTATATCCATTATGATTCGAACCACCCACATAGTGTCAAAAAGTCAACCATAACTACCCTAGCCCGTCGAGCCATCAATATATGTGACGACAACTCCCTCCCCAGTGAACTCACCCCATATAGAAAACATACTCTCTAATTTGAACGGATATCCGCCCCAGTTAGTCAAGAATACCATAAAAGAAACAAAAAAGAAAACCGTTGCTGAACAGCCCAAGCCAGATAAACCACCCATACGGATAACCATCCCGTTTCAAGGAACGTTATCGTACCACATCCGAAGGCTACTCGCAACGACAGGCATCCAAGTCATTTTTTCCAAAGGACGCACGCTTAAAGACCACCTGAAAGCGAATGGTAAACTGCACCCCACCATTCCACTGCCACTTAAAAGGATGTGTCTATGAAGTTGTGTGCTCGTGTGATATGACATACATTGGTGAAACTCGACAACCCCTACCTAAAAGACTCGCCCAGCATAACTCAAGGTCCCCCACAGCAGAATCAGCAGTTGCCCAGCACCTCCAGTCCAATCCAGGCCACAAAACCCAGTCCTCTAAGACCCTAGCCCTCAACCAACACAACGAAAAGACGCGGAAAATCATGGAAACAATACACATCAGGAGATCCAAACCAGACCTCAATCGCGACACAGGAATATTCCTCCCAAGAGCCTATGATGAACTAATTCTCAACTAATGTGTACATGCCTACACTTCCATTCGTGCTTAGGTTACTCAGTTCGCGTATCATGTGTATTACTTGTTTATTCTCGTTATCCATTTGTAGAACTAATCTTAATAAGTGTGTGTCTAATGGGAAGGAGTGTGCAGGACATAATTACTTAGAAGCCTGTGGATAGGACTGTGGTGTGGCTTTCCAATATTTATAATTTACCACTTATTTATGGTCATTTATGTAATTATCCTTTGTAAACAGTTAAGTGTCTCTTGTACTTATCCTAGGAATAAATGTATGTGTGAGTCTGTCGGAAGGAAGAATGTTGGACTATCATTAGTTGTGCTATGTTGTGTGCATTTTAATACTAATATTTTGTAATTCACTTAAATATGGCTTAACCATTTAATCCCTATGTAGCCACTACTCCTCTGATGTTTTCGTAACATGTATGGCTTCCCTCTTGTTTGGTTTAATGGTATGTTTACCCCTATCATCAGTCCTTTATTATTCCCTTGATGTACCCTCACCTAGCCAATCACATCATGTATGGTTTCTCATTTGTCATGATTGGTTGTCCAATTAAAATTATTTACCCCTATAATCCGTCATATGTATATTGCCTTTGATCATGTTGTTTTTTTAATCCTTTGATCTTGTTGTTGTCATGCATGGTTTCTGAATTGTTGTTATTGCTTGTCTATATATAATTGCTCTACACATTTGTTACTGCACTTGCTTGAAAACGTTGAGAGAATACTCTTCGAAACGTCGCCCAAATAAATCAGTAATTGTTCTTCCATAAGTATGTGTTATAGTTTATTATATAAATAATCACTGGGACACCTTTATATAAAAAGTATATAAACTTTATATTACTATTTTCGCATTTATCACCATAGTAACTATATAATTTATCACTGGAACACCTTAATATAAAAAATATATAAACTTTATTACTATTTTCACATATATCACCATAGTAACTATATAAATCATCACTGGGACACCTTTATATAAAAAGTATATAAACATTATATTAGTATTTTCACATTTATTACCACAGTAACTATATAAATCATCACTGGAACACCTTTATATAAAAAGCATATAAACATTATATTACTATTTTCACGTTTATCACCATAGTAACTATATAATTTATATAAACATTATATTACTATTTTCACATATCAGTCACCATAGTAACTATATAAATAATCACTGGAACACCTTTATATAAAAGTATATAAACTTTATATTACTATTTTCACAATGATCACCATAGTAACTATAAAAATTATCACTTCAACACCTTTATATTAAAAATATATAAACTATATATTACTGTTTTCACATTTATCACCATAGTAACTTTATGAATTATCACTTCAACACCTTAATATTAAAATGTATAAACTTTAACTACTACCCCGGCTGCTACTACTACTACTACTACTACTACTACAACTGCTGCTGCTGCTACTACTACTGCTACTACTACTACTACTACTACTACTACTGCTGCAGCTGCTACTAATACTACTACTGTTACTACTACTACACGCGTTAGACTACTACCTCACCCGGCTTATATTCATAGTAAGGGCATCATAAAAATAAGACGCCACAGTTACTGTGCAAAGATATACCTGCAGATTAGAGGATTTTCATCAGTTGCAGTACACTCTCCATGTTGTCCACAGTCTTTACCTTCGCATCTATGTATACAGGCGCTATTTGTACATTCATATAACCAACTTTCACATACTGCACCCACAGCATTACAATCATCTTGTATTAAAACTTTAACTAAAACATATAATATGGGAAGGTAAGATAATTGATCAAAAGCATATGGATCCTGAAACTTTGGTATTTTTGTGTGAAACGGCCCAAGAGCTTAAAATAGTTATGCGGGGTCGATGTCGAGATATCCCGTGTGATTCCCAGCACTGCAGAGGGACTCTTTAAAGAGGAGTGAACGAGATGTTAAATTCTCTGCTGTTTTATCGCGTTATATTCAGTCTGATATGTATAAAATATCGCATTATCTTCAGTCTGGTTGGCCGAAGATATCTCATTATCTTCAGCCTGGTTGACCGAAAATATCGCATTATCTTCAGTCTGGTTGGTCGAATATATCGCTTTATCTGGTTGGTCGAAAAAAACTCCGAAAACGACAGGAAATGAAACAGGGGTTAATGTCCTACTTTTCTGCATCGATTATGGTGTGTGTGTGTGTGTGTGGGGGGGGGGGGGTGTCCAGACAGCGTGGCTACGGTCTACACATATCTCAAATCGACAACTGCCATGAGTTCTTTTACATGCTCGCCAACACGGGATCTCGGTTGTCGTCCCATCCCAACGTCTATACACTGTCCTCACCAGACCTCCCGGTTTGCACCACAGACAAGGAGAAACCGCAACGGAAAATCTGGACACCGGGAGCGAACACGTCTCCTACTCCGAAAACGATGTCGTATCAAATACGTATAGCAAAAACAAAGTGTTATATGTTAACTGCCCGAAAAGCGATTTATATATATATATGTCTATAATCTTACACTTATCAAAACTGTCTGTATAATTCATAGTATAGTTGTCAAGGTAAGGTGTGCTGGAGATATAGCTCGTCAATTTTTCTAGTGTTTCGATGACTTTAATACTCTCATTTCTCACTGCCGTCATGGGGATTCCCACATTGGCTTCAACTATAGTACTACCATTTCTGAAAAATATAACCAAACTAGTTAGTATACTATGATATTAAAACAACGCAACAAATTTGTAATCAAATTAAGTCAACTGATACCCTTCGAAAAATATCCACAAATTAATACAATTTAACACAAAAAAACAGACTGGAAATAATAAGTTTCTTAAATTTATATGAAAGAAGAGTGGGGGCGCCGAAGTCTCTAGCAGATATAAGTATTCAGCAGAGGTAAACGTCTGTTAAAAGTGAGTATTTTTGTCCACCAGCTGACCATCTGTCCTAAATAGCAAGAACAGGATGGGAGCACTACACACAAGCAAAGCGGATAACAAACCTGTGGACAAAACTACATAGGAGCCACTTAAAGACCTACTGGGCTAACAGGCCATCATGTCTGTGAGAAAGTACAAATTTATTCAAGATAGACGATACATGTAACGGTTCATTGTTCACATCATTGACTGCTTGGAAGAAATTCCAACAGTCAAGAGTTATTATGACTAGTTTGTAAGAAACTGGTCAGGCACTAGAATCGACAAGAGTGTTTCTTTTTGTCAACCGCGCCCTTAACATTTCTAAAGGTGTCCTACAGGGAACGGTATGCTATAGATCTACACCTACTAAGCACCAAATTTAAGAAATTTTATATAAAACGCTCTTGTCGGTCTTTGACGGTAATTAGAAGGACCTTATAATTAATACATTACTCAAGGTTACCTTATATCATAGATGTGATATGATCTGCAGATATATATTCCACATTGCTCTGCCAAGATACCAAACATCTACAATCAAAATGCTAACCATTTTCAACAGCATTATACACATTGGTTCTTAAACTATAAGAATTTAAACTTAAAAATACTATATATGAGGGCAATTTTGTTCGAACAACAATCGAATTCCAACTGTCTAGGGTTCTTTTACGTACACGCCAAGTTATACACGGGACGTCATCTGTGGACTCAAAATGACATCGTATTGTCAAATATGCATTCTTGGAAACCACATTTGTTTTGCGTGGTTATTCATTAGGATTTTGACGCCAAACATCGTATGATAAGTCACTGTAAAAATAACTAGGGGGTACTCAACTTTTGTGTTTGTGTATACCTATTGAATTTAGTATCGAAGGCACTAAAACGGGCTCAACGTGTACTTACAAATTCATTAAAGTCTTGCTTATCAAACAGACTGAGATTCATCTGAATTGTTACTTCCAACTTGAATGCAAAATATGAACCCTCTGAAATAGAAAAAGAAAAGCCCGTGTTATGACACCTAAAGCAACGCTAATATACTATAATAGAGCATAGTATATTTTGATAATATGACATGGAATTGTTTAATCAAAAGAGAAGCGGTACAGCGGGATTAACATAAAAAGTGAAATGTATATCATGCTCTAAATGTACTTTACCTGTATCTGGCTTTAAAGTAGGAAACAGAGTTGTTTGAGGTGCTGATGTGGGAGTTGCAGATTGTGTTTGTGGACTTGTTAACGGTAGTTGTGTTGATGTAGCTGCCGTAGAACTAGATTCAGGTGCGACTGATGTTGCCGTGGAACTGGGTTCTGGTGTGACTGCCGTGGAACTTGTGGACGGGCTTCCATCTGTTGAAGTCGGTTGCGAATGTTCTTCTGTAGAACCACTTGGTGATGATGTAGTCTCCAGTGTGACTGGTGAAGAACTAACCCCTGATGTGACTGGTGTAGAACTAGTCCCTGATGTGACTGCTGTGAAACTGGGTTCTAGTGTCATTGTTGTGGAACTTATTGCCGGATTTCCGTCTGTAGATTGAGAGTGTTCTTCTGTAGAACCATATGGTGATGATGTAGTATCGGGTGTAACCGGTGTTGAACTAACCCCTGATGTGGAACTCGTCACCGTGTTTCCATCTGTAGACGTCGGTTGAGATTGTTCTGCTGTAGAACCATCTGGTGATAATGTAGTCTCTGTTGTGACTGGTGCAGAACTAGACACTTGTGTGACTGCTGTGGAACCTGTTGCCGTGTTTCCATCTGTAGAAGTCGATTGAGCTTGTGATGGTGTAGATTCTGATCCGGCTGGTGTAGAATTAATAGCCTCTGTTGTGGAACTCGTTGCTGTGTTTCCATCTGTAGACGTCGGTTGAGAGTTTTCTTCTGTAGAACCATCTGGTGATGATGTAGGCGTTACGACAGGGGTCGTAGCGTATATTTCAGGTGTATTTGTCTCTGACAGCGTGGAGCTTGTAGATGTTGATGCTGATGCGGTACTGAATTCGGATGATGGCGGTGATGTTGAAACGCTGGCTAGTATGTTTGAACAGTTCATTATCAATACTAAAATGATGATATGGATAACAATAAACTAAAATCACGTGTATATCTCAGACGATATGGCAATAAATGTCATATTTCAAAATTAAATTCGTGAGATAATGAGCGATATAGGTGAATCAGAGAACAGGAAATACCATACATCAAAGGCTTCTATTTAAGTCAATATATAAATGTTGGATTTGGTCGCTCAGGTGGTGTGCTATTGCGATGAGTGATATTTACGCTTTCATTACGACTAATTGAGCTATTGTACTAAGCTTGTTGTTGGTTAATTTTAGTTTAGAAAACCTCAACATAAAACGTAGCCACATCGGTAATTGTATTGATTTAAATCAAAGTCCTTTGTGATAAACACTGGATAAGAAGCATAAGAAGATTACTTACGAAAACAAAGTAGAATCCTATGGACACTAAGGATTAACATTTTTGAAAATACCTGAAAAACCAAAGATAACATAAGATTTTATAATATCAAAGTACCTACATAACGTTTATATGAAAGCAGTAAAAAACTGGAAAATGGAAACAAACATAAAACCCGTGCCACATAAAGAACATAATTGTGATTCATACAATATATTTTCATTTGGTCGTGATATCCCCGGGTTATGATTGGGTTAAGTGAAAGCGTTATATATAAAAGTGCATACAGCATTGGACAGTTCGACTGGCTCATGAAGACGGACAGGGATAGGGGTGCTACAGCATATTTTTATTTCAAATTCTAACTGTTTAAGGGTAGTGTTACGTGCACACCAGGAGGTTGGGTGGCCCAATGGTTAACGTTAGATCACAGTGTCTCTCATTGAGTCACATGGCGTGGTTTCGAATCCCCACTTGTACGTGACAAGGAGTAGGTTGTCTGTCCAACCTCTCGGGTTTTCTCCGGGTCCCCCTGGTTGCACGTGACAAGGATTAGGGTCGCCTGTCTAACCTCGTGGGTTTTCTCCGGGTTCTCCAGTTTCCTCCAACTGCTAAAGACCCCTACGCGCAAGCGAATTATTGAAATAAAATTAAACCATATGTTTGTCCCGAAATGACCTAGTTTGTGTCGAGTGGACGTTAAATTCCTCTCTCTCTCTCTCTCTCTCTTCTCTCTCTCGTACACGCCAATGTGTAAAGGGGACCTCGGTTTTTCGTCGCCCTCCGTCATATATCATTGACAACGAGGAACCACGCCGGCGGAAAATCCAACACCAAGATCGAACACGAGACCTCTAGGTTAGCGAGCCATCGTCTTACTCACTGCGCCACCACGGGACAGGTAATTGTGAAACAATAGTGTGGATATATTTTAGACATAGAAGTTACATTCCATCAGAAAAAGGCATTCGTGTTCGAGTTCGCGTTTTGGCCATTTATAATATATATTCCACTGGAATGAAATAATATCACCCCCTTTCTGTTTCACTTCCGACGTGGTTTAACCTTGTCAGCGGTGCAGGACGGAGGGTCTGACAAGTACAGATGTATAGTCGTTCGGGTGGGACGAAAAACCGAAGACCCATGTACACATTAGCGTGCACGTAAAAGATCCTTTGGCAGTTGGAATTCGACATAAGAGTAGGCCGTAGTGCCGCTGTCCGGGCAAAATTTCCGGCATAGCACACTGTATGGCGTATGCCCGTCCTCATTAGCCCAGTCGGAGCAGAACAGTTGGATATTTTCATTCTAAGTTTGTAATACTTCACTTGTTCCTATTTGACAATGTTGAACTTTTTAATGTTTGCTATAGACACTTGTACTTAGAACTGAAAAGCTCACTAACCAGTAGATCTGGGGTTCGACCCAGGTGTTGGCACACAAAGTTCCCCGAAATTTTCGATCGTGGTTTCCCCTTGTCAGTGGTGCAATAGCACGAAAAACCTTTCAGGTAGGTAAAAGAAGCCTTGCCCGTTGTAATTCAGTAGCTGTCTGGGGTAACATTTTCCATACCCCACACTGTATATGTCGTATGTCAGTCTTCACTAACCCGGATGAATCAGAAATGTAGGAAGTTAAAACCCATTTCATTAGTCAACTACAAACGGATATATTTCAGTCCATTTTTGCTAGATTCAAACAAACCGTGAATCATTTTCAAGATACTGAGATGAAGAATGTGTAAATAACATGGACCCCCATTTTTAAAATTTCCTCACTGTGACTCATTTTGCCAGCACGTGTCACATATTATGTAATAAGTCAATTATTGTTAAATGTCTTTCAAGGATTTTGTTACATATGATTATTCCCATTCCCGGTTATTCCCCTATTTTTCTTTGTTGGTAAAAGGAAACACGCAAACCGGAACAAGGAAAACGTAAAAGAGATCTTTCTCTAGTCGGTACGGTATGTCGTTATGTAATATGAGTTGATTAAAAAATGCCTATCGCACCTCGATCAAACTGAGAAGTAATCCTTTAACTAGAGAAGTATGTCGATCAGTAGAGGTGTTGATTTCTATTCCCAGTTGACGATGTGATTTCAATGTTGAGGTATTTGGTTCGTTCTGTGTTTGAGGATCACGCAGGAGGTCTATTTTTAAAAATGTGTGCATATTGACAAATATTGACGTAGCACTTGTCATCACAATGTTATATCTTTATCTATATTCTTGACATATGATATCTACACGTATATAATGTCACTTTAATCTCAATAGTCAATAAATCAGGGTGTAACACCTGTAGTCAGTATACAGGATAGGCACATTCCATAAAAACGTTTAAAGGGACGGTTGATCAAGGGTCGAGCGTCGGGTTTCCGTTTTCCTTGGTTCTAATTAATGTCTTTAGCTCTGATCAATGGTGAAATGAAATTATATGGTGGTAAGCGTCCTATTGTTCTGCTCCGTCTGGACTAATGAAGACGAGCATATAGTGAGCTACATGTATACGGGAACTTTTACCCGGATAACAGCATTATGGCCTACTCTTAATTCGAATTCTAACTACCATGGGTTCTTTTACGTGTACGTCAATTTGTACATGGGAACTCAGATGTTTGTCCGACAATACTTGCGAGGCCTCTCGTCTTGCACCACTGACAAGAGTAAGCCACTCCGGAATGTCCAATGGTGCATGCAGGATGTTCACCTCTCTGGAATTTCCCATGGTGTATGTAGGATGTCACACCAGTCCGGAATGCTCAATGGTGTATGTAGGAGATTTTAAGAAAAATTAAATTGGTTTTGTTGGTCACCCTCGCCCCTCACACAAAGACAGATGATCTCCGTTGTTGTACTGACTATTACACATGACAAAAGTTTGATACAAGTGGACAGCGAAATCTTTATGTGGACAGAGAGAGAGAAATGGAGTTTAACGTCCACTCGACACAAACTAGGTCATTTCGGGACTAACATATGGTTTAATTTTATTTCAATAATTCGCTTGCGCGTAGGGGTCTTTAGCAGTGGGAGGAAACCGGAGGACCCGGAGAAAACCCACGAGGTTGGACAGGCGACCATACTACTTGTCACGTACAACCGGGGATTCGAAACCACGCCAGTCGACTCAATGAAAGACTTAATGATAAAGCGCGCGCACGCTAACCATTCAGCCATCCAACCCCCCATCTTTATGTGGACAGGATCAATTGATAAGACTAGGATCACATAAATTCTATTCTAAAGTATGTCATACTTACACGAAAAATTCTTGATAAGGCTAGGATGTAAGTGTTCAATTTGCATATAATTCTTAAATAGTAAGTGCAGGGGACAGTACTACACATTGAGAACGCTAGATCGAAGACCGTCTAGCACAAATGATGTCATATGTGGATTGTGGGTTAGGGTTAGGATAAGGTTTAGGGCTACGTCTAGGGATAGGGTTAGGTTTAGCGCCAGCCTTGTTTAGGGGTGGATAAAATCGAGGGGACATATAAGGTCGGATAATACCGAATCCAATTAAGTTAATAATTATATCTCGAGACCTTGACGAAATCTACAGTCCTAACCCTATCCTAACCCTAACCCACACTCCACATATGACGTCATATGTTTTTGACCGTCTCCGACCTAGCGTTTTCCACTACACACAAACAGAACCGAAAAGACAAACCCATGAACAAGAAACAAATTACACAGACATTGCAAGCTGTAAACAACAAATATCAAATCAAGTGAATGGATCCGGGAATCAACCGTAAGTTGTACAACCTGGGCCTGTAATGATTCAGGTTTTGCTCAAAATGAAAAACAAAACAAAGATTTAGAAGAAAAACGCAATGTATATATCCGAGCGCCTTTAACACAAATTGTTTTAATTGTTCGATAAAATTGAAAGATAGCCTGGTTTCACCTGTGTGAACATCCTGGTGAATTAAGGAAGTCCCATATGAAGGAAATAGAATGAAATGAAATGGGGGTTAACGTCCCACTGTTCTGCTCCGGAGATGGGCATACACCATACAGTGTAGAGGGGAATTTTCTCCGGGCAGCTTCGCTACGGCCTACTCTTACATCGAATTACAAAAACCTATGGATCTTTTACGTGCATCCGATGTGTAAACTGGACCTCGGTTTCTCATCCCATTCGAACGACTATACATTGTCCCTTGTCAGGTCCTCTGTCCTGCTCCACTGACAAGGGGGGGGGGCACGCTGGAAAATCATATAGATGAACGACCTAAATGATTATATATCCATACAGTCAACACCGCAATATATACCTGTAATATTTTGTAACCTCACCATAATGTACCTTAATTGTTCTTAGTTTTCAGCTGGTTATTGTTAAACGAAACTTTATATATATATATCCATTTATTTAAAATGAATACCGTCTTCAATAACCGAGTTTGTTCTTTAAATAGGGCCGTTAAACTCTATTTTATTTCAGAATGAAAAAGATCCGACTCCCCCCTGCATCATTCCAATGAAATTCGGATTTATTCGAACCGTGCCAAACTCGTTCGGGGATTAGATGGTCTAATGGGTGAACGAGTGTGCGTGAAACCATAAGTGAGTCAAGTGAGTCAAGTGGCGTGGTTTCGATTTCACGCTTGTACGTGACAGTGAGTAGTTTTCTCCCATTGCTAAAGATCCCTACTCGCAAGCGAATTTTTGAAATAAAAAATTGAACCATAACATACTCCTGAAATGACCAAATTTGTGTCGAGTGGATGTTACCCCCCCCCCCTCCCTCTCTCTCATAGGCTACCAAATAGGCTACCGATTATAAGACAACCCAAACTTTATTTTGTTAAAATTGTGTTAATTTCACCCGATGGAGCAGGAAAAGCAAATGATACTGGAAATTGATTTGCAAGTAAATGGGTTAGCCACATATAAGAATCCATTAAACATAATGCCAGATTAAAAAAATGGTCAATGGATACTGAGAATTTATCAAAATGATGAATACCCATACATTATATTATAGTATCCATTTAATTAAAGATTTATCAACCATGGTCTTATTCTAAGACGACAGACAATTAACTGACATTCGATCAGAAGACAATGATTGGAACGATCACAAGTTGGTTCGATCTCATTGTGTTTCCCTCCATCTGCACACTTGATTATTACCAGTAGGAATAGGGCTTAAAGCTTTGTGATTGTCCATTTACACATTTCATATTCTTTTATATAGAGTTTAAGATATAATTCTATCTGTCTCCACCGACCAGGCCAAAGAAGACGGGCAAACTCCATGCAGTGAGTTATGATGGAAAGTTTGCCCGGACAGCGGCGCTAGGGCCTACTCTTATTTCGAATTCGACTATCTAGGGTTCTTTTACGTGCGCGTCAGTGTTTACACGGGGCCGCGCTGTTTTTCGTCCCATCTACCAAAAAAAAAATTCCTCCACCATGACTGATAATTGCCAAAGCCTTAAATTCAATGAAAATCATCCGAACCACAGATTCGAATTTCTCAGTTAGAACCTATTGTCCGAGTAATTGTCATGATTGATAATATCCTGGGTTTAATATAATAGTATCTATGTGTAGGATAAAGCACGAGACAGAGGTTATGCTGGGGAAAAAAGACTGAAGAAAATAACCCGATAAAGTTGTTCTGTCGAGGGTTTTTTCTGAAGTCTTTCTTCCACAGCATACCCGAAGTCGAGGACTTTATCGTGCTTATAAAACGTCTATGTTTACATGTACGCAAGATGAGAATATCCCAGAATTCCCGTAAGAAAAACCTTATATCGTGTTTTCTTGTGAAAAAAAACCCCCTACCCTGGAAGAATAACCCGGTACAGGTTTAAAGAAAAACTTTCAGAAGAATAACCCCAAATTTCCCTGTATATATCTTTCAGACCTCAATTTATTCCGGGCATTAGAATATACCCCAAAGATCAAAGATATTTACCGTTACAGGTTTATAAATATGTATAAACATTGTGTTACTTACCTTTAAAACAGTCCACGGGTAAAATGAATAGGGGTTCTCCTTAATACGTGTTACTCTCTGGTAGCGGTTAACAATATAACATAGTACTCACAGTATTTAGTCTACTTGAAGAAACGTCGATACAGAGATATGTTGGAATATTTGATTTTACTGGGATTTATGACCGCGATAACAGTATGATTGCTACAAGTGCTATGAATGAATGACGTATAGTGCTACCTGCTATGGTATAACTATGTTGACTAAGTGAGGTTATTATGTTGTAAAGTTATTTCCTTATCAGGGTTATATTACACATTATGTCGAAGATACCCAACCTAGAAATTATTTGTCATCTGCCTGTATGCATCGTGCCGACGACGCCTTAAAGCGACAGGTCCGGGGTTGGTCCCTATGTTGGCCTAGAAATTTGTCTGGGATTTTCCAACATGGTTTCCCCTTGTCAGTGGCACTAGTCTGCAGGCCTGCGTGCTTGTAAAAAAAACTTGGGGGTGGGGGGGGAGGTGGAATTCAATCCATGCCAAATGTTCCTCATAGAACACCGAATATCATATGTATCGTCTTCATTATCCTGTTTCGTTCAGAAAAGTAGGACGTTAAACCCAATTTCACTCATTCATTCTTAAAGTGACAGGCGTACAAAGAAAAGCGTGACCATGTTAACAAGTACTTTTATCCCAATATGGAGGTAACAAACAAATAGCCATGAACCTTTAATATAGATAATATAGAGATTTCAGTCTAAATACACGTCATTACTTCATTTAATGCGTTTTAAAATTTACAATATTTATATATTGGGCAACAAAGATGGCGTAATGAAATGTGAAGATTTATTACTTAACGACTTTAACAGCAATCAACGTAGTTTATATCCTTACCATAAAACATAACTAGTAATAAACACCATAGCTAGAAGAATGGGGTTTAACGTCTCCTCGACCAAACAGGCGAGTCATTTAAGGACTAACATACTCTTATTTATTGCATGGTCACTGAAGTTTAACGACTCCTCAACGCATCATGTCCGTCATTTTGGGACTAACATACAGTTATTTTATTCCATGGTCACGTGTGCAATGCTTGAGATGGGAAGTTTAACTGCATAAAATGAGTTAAACAAGATGGACAACAGCTATATTTAGGCTACGCCCACCTACAGCTGTGTGCTCCATGCTATCTATAAGTGTTCCTGATTCACAGGAACTTGGTGTGCATAACAACGTTGTACAAAAGCGCAACAAAAACCGCCACCCGTGCCATTACACACGGGAACTCAAAACGCTAGGATACATATTAAATAAAATAAAAAAATACATATTGATCATTCAAATAATTAACTACTGTTATAGTTACATCATCAAAACAACAATTCACACATCTTTTAGACATTTAATATTTCATAACACCATTTTAATGGTGTTAAAGGTGTAACACATGACACAATTATATGAAATACAAGTTACTTAAAGAGTTTATTACAGCGACGTTTCGACGAGGGTTCTCCCGTCTTTGTCAAGCCAAGAACCCTGCCTGGTATAGCGTTCGAATGTTGAATACAAATAATTAGGGAGTCACGGTGGCTAGGTGGGTAATATGCTGGTTCGCTAGTGTGGAGGTCGCGTGTTCGATCCCTGCATTGGCCGGTTCAAATTTCCCCTCATAGCACCGTATGGCGTATGCATGCCCGTCTTCATTAGCACAGTCAGAGCAGAACAGTAGGACGTTAACCCCCATTTCATTTAATTTCATTTCACAAATAATTAATATTTAATTTAAATCATATAATATACACCAATATTATGCGGATCTATTTCCATTCGGATTTATATCTTTTATTTCGGGGGCAAAGATCCCCGTTTAAAATGGACATAATTTCACTATCAGCTCTTATTTTCGTTATTATTAAGCATGTATAGATATTGTTAAAAACATCGATTTCTTCTCTTATAATTATGTTTCATGTTATCTTGGACAGAAGTCAAGTTTTTATCGCAGTCCCAAACCGGGTCCTTTTCCTGAAATTATAAAACACATGTATATGAAGTAAGGATAAGCCTATAAACTAACGATGTTAAACGAACTAAGGCCTAATGTTGTGATAGCGAATTTCAAAAAGTATGGCCATCACGCCATTTGAATTTACATCCGGCGAGTTTAATGACAATTCTTGGCCCATTGCCCTGCCTACCCCTCCACCCCCCACCCTTCCCAAATAATCGTCGGGTTGAAACGTGTTCTACCGAAGATGGAGCAATGTTGTCATAGCGAATTCCAAAAAGTATGGCCATCACGCCATTTGAATTTACATCCGGCGAGTTTGATGGCATTTCTTGTCCCATTACCTGCCTCACCCCCCCCCCCTTCCCAAATTATCGTCGGGTTGAAACGTGTTCTACCGAAGATGGAGCAATGTTGTCATAGCGAATTTCAAAAAAGTATGGCCATCACACCGTTTGAATTAACATCCGGCGAGTTTAATGGCAAAATGTCTTGTTTCATTGCCGGCCTCAACCCCCCCCCCCCCATTATCGTCGGGTTGAAACGTGTTCTACCAAAGATGGAGCAACACGTGACAACGTCTTGTCTAAGAGCAGGTATGACGTTCACTATGGATGTACAAACAGGAAGCAGTATACTAGTTAGAGTGGAACGATAGCCACTCTACACCTCAACGCAAAGAACTTCGTAAACATCCGCCTCTAAATGGTACATATTCACCGACATTAACAGACAATGTAAACTAAATCAACTAAAATCATAATGGGAAAATCGTGAAAATCGAAAGGGAGAGAAAGAAGAACCTACACTTGTTTGTCTGGGCCCTAGTGTTCCAAGATGTGATATCTGCACATCTTTTATGCTAACCGTAATGTACAGTGCAGCATAACGCATAACAACGTATGCCAAAAAAGAACCTTCTTGTGCAAATATCAAAATAAACCGAAAATAACGTGTCTTGTGCAAATGTCAAAATAAACCGAAAATAACGTGGCTATGTTTTAAATACCGCATGTAAAAGAAATACTTACCGGGTCGTAGTATTAACTGCGGCCTTTTAATACTATACTGAAATTAAAAATATCATACACATAAAACTCTTGCAGGCGAAGTTATTTTTGTAACTGGACCAAAGTTAACTGAAGTTCAGGGATGGTCGTAAACGTTTTCAGCGCTATATACACAAACCAGTTATTTAAAAATTGACATACAGAGTTTGATGTATTGCCTTTTACAGGATTCCGTACATAACTTTGGGTATTATTTCAATCCAATTCGAAACAGAGGCAAACTTCCCTTTAACTAAAATATGATATACATTAAAACAATAAATGCAGACTCCTGCCACTTACGTCAGCTTGTGGATTAATATGACCAAATTTAGACCGATAGGCAGGTGATACCGAACTGTGACGACTCTCCCTTTCCTCAACATCAACATAATCTCCTCGTGATGGTCCTAATTTTACAGGATATTCATAGTTGCGTGGTTCATTCAACTTTAAGAAACAAAAATGATTTTAACAATAAAATGAAATGAATATGACTTAAATTGTACACTGTTCAAACAACAAGAACCAAACAACAAAATTTAAATGAAGAGGGTTCCTATCTATTCCACGTGTTAGGACCCTCCCAATTCCCAAGTTTGTTTTAAACACAATTGAGCAAAGTCGAGGTTGATGCCGGAGACTCCATAGATCTTGAGACTAGAGGAAGACAAAATTGTGTTTAAAACACAATTGAGCAAAGCCGAGGATGATGACGGAGACTCCGTAGATCTTGAGACTGGAAGAAGACAAACGTGTATTTTAAATACAATAATTGTGCAAAGTCGATGATGATGCCGGAGACTCCATAAATCTTGAGGCCCTAGGCTTCAGCCTGCCAAAACTTTAGGTAAATTTGACACTGACTGGGACATTACATTAGTTATGTCTACCAGAGTGCATTTTTATAATATTTTAAAGCGTTGTTTAAAGGTCACCGGAAAAGTATCAACTTTTTTAAAATAATGCAAGTAATTATGTCAACATATCCTTTCCATAAGTATAACCCCAGCCCGAACGTCAATATTACCTGCAACAGGTAAATTTCAACATTAGTAATTTCCGCCGTTCTCCGTCGGTAGTCGGAACTTTCCGTCAATAAGCAATCCGTGAAGTCATTTTAGTCCTTCTGCACATAGAAATATAGAGGTCAGCCATTTTGAAAACGTACTGTTTACTTTCTTGCCATTAAGTCACCCATCTTGAATCAGTTATTACGTGAATATCAACGGTTAACTTTTATATGAAGTGTAATTTATAGTTTTTAATTTATTAGCAAATTTATTTGATGTATCTCGGCTGTGGCCTGTTATAAATATTATGTTCAAAGATTATCAATTTTCAAACAGTTTATATGAACGTTATTGTTGGTGCTACGTTTCTTTTTCGCGTTGTGTTAGATTCGTTGGCGCGGTCAAGAAACTTTAAGACTAAAAAATTTAAAGTGACAAATAATTTTTAGAGGAATTTGCAAGGGAATATATCGTCGATACAAACCTTCTTTCCAAACCTCGCTTCACACTATCTATTGACAGACAGACTATCGCCTCTATGGAAGACCAAAGATCTCTTTATTCAAAGTTCTTAATTCTTAATTCATAGTATTTAATTCTTATTTCTACATTTGTTGTCGTATTTCGACATTTTGTATCTGAAAATCAATATTTGTTTTACAAATCAGACATTTGTCATATCAGATTTGTTAATTGCATCTATGTTTAATTTAATTGTATTTTAATATAATGATAAAATTTATTTCAGGAAATAAAAAAAATTCATCAGAAACACATACAACGAAAAACAAATCTCGAACATCAAATTTCCAATAACAAATCTCCAAATACCAGTCTTGCAAAACCATTGTCAAAAAACATTTCTCCAAATTCATCTAACCTGAATATTATGACGACAGGGGCGCTAGTGGAGGTGCTGGCATATGCCGAAATCAACCTGGCATACAATAAGTCACCATAAAACAAATCGGGGAATCAAGCCAGAACACAGTAAGAAAATTAACTGGATGACCGTTACTGTTGTGAAATCACAGAGCGATGGAAAAATACTTTACGGTGATGCATTACACGATAACTGGAATTATATATTAAGACCCGTATTTTGATTGTTAAATCTCCCCCACCCCACCTTCACTAAACAGTTTTCAGTTCGATCCAAATCTGTGATCAAGTTACGTAAATATGATTTTGCCAGAATATAAGTAACATTTTAAAAAAAGGTATATGGACCTGCTTTCCAATAGAATGCATCTCAATACCTTGAATTCGTATAATGGCCCGTATTTTGAGGTTAAATGCCATCCAAATTTGATCTTTTTCAAGGTATCTAAATATAAATTTGCCAGAATATAAATTACATTTTTAAAGCAAGCCTAAACATACATTCCGGCAGTATATGAAACGATATCACGAACGAATTTCGCATTACGATCCCCTCATCTCCATTAATAGAGTTTAGTACCATCCAAATTTCATCTTATTTCAAGGTATCTACATATAAATGTGCCGGAAAATTTGATGAGAGGACGATCCCTATCGATATTCGGCGTTCCACAAGCTCCAGCGAATTAATTGAAATTCGAAACGAAAGCAGTGAATACAAAATTCATAAATTTACAGTGCAAAAAAGTTCCTCTTTATATCGAATGATGCACCGGTAAATAGATAATAACATGTTATGTGAGTAAGGTATAAGGAAGGGATGTACGCACATTTCTTTTATAAAGAAGAATATTTAATGTTTTTACAACTATTTATCTTAAAGTAGCTAAATCTCAATACCATCCAAAGTCTTCGACATTGAAATACGAAATATTTGTCAATTTAAATCAAAATTGACGTTGTGATCTTGCAAGGAAAAGATGGGCTTCTGATATCCAATATTTAAGACAAAATAAACTTTTTACCATTGGTACACGTACACGGTACGTTTCAGCAGCATTTGTAACAAGGGACTCGAAGAACGGTCACACCATATTCTTATATTCTTAACTGGAGAGCATGCGCAATAAATACTATCGGTGTTGACTGGGATACCCAGACGCTAGAGATTGCCATTGGATTGAGACGTCTGACGTATTTCAACGAACCGGAACATAACTGATTTAAATTACAGTAAAAACAGAAACGATTGAATGTAAATCAGTTTATATACATTCACATTACATTATTATATGCGTTGCGGCCCATTTGTGTCAATTTCTAGATCCCAAATATTACCTATGTATGCTGGTTTGATTCCCCGTTTTTTTCTGGTAAGCCGACTTATTGCATGGTGATTTATTTCGGCATTTTACAGCCCGCCACTTGCGATTTTACATAAGCAGTGTTTAAACCACTAGCGCCCTCTGTCGTCATAATATTCAAGGTAAATGAATTGGCGAAATGTTTTTGACAATGGTTTTGCAAGATTGGTATTTGGAAATTTGTTTCTAAAATAAATTTTATCTTTATATTAAAATAAAATTAAATTAAGAAAGATCCATTTTACAAATCTGAAATGACAATTGCAAATGTCTCATTTGTAAAACAAATGTTGATTCTAAGATACAAATGTTAATTTTAGTATACGGTAAATATTAGTGAATATTGTTGGTAAATCGTATCCGGTGGACAGGGGATTAAGGCTGGGATTACTGTTTGAACAGACAATCTTGGAATGTCGAGCAATTAGATAGTCCAGGAAATGTATATATGCAGCTCGAAACAAATTCAGAATTGCTAGTGGAAACTGGAACTGGGTATCTGGATACTGATAGAACCCCTTCCCACCTCCTAAAATAAACATCCATTTAAAAAAATGTACGGCATGGTATTTATGACCAGAAGTCGGATACTTACTGAATTAGGATGTCTTTTTCCAAAATATCGTCCATCATAGAGTTGATTTTCTTCTTGGTTCCCCTTCTCTTGTAGCGGTATGTCGTCAGGAAGACCAGAACTTATAGAGTGAACCGACACGTTTTCAGTACCCCTGGTTAAAATAAATAATATTATAAGTTTATATACTGTACTTAATGCTGTGTTTGGAAATATAAATGAAATAAAATGGGGTTTAACGTCCTACTGTTCTGCCCAGACTGGCATACTCTGTGCTATGGGGGAAATGTTGCCTGGACGGCGGCGCTACGGCCTACTCTTATATCGAATTCCAACTGCCAAGGGATCTTTTATGTGCGCAAAGGGAAACCAACCCGGAATATCCCGATGAACGTTGCAGGCCCAACACCGAGACCGACCTCCAGCGTCTTACTCACTTAGCCACCGTGGCTCCGTTTGAAGATATACTATAAGAAGTTAAGGATCAGACATGTAGTACCAACACGATTTGAATCACACTATAGTATTTTAAATAAAGTTGAATAAATTCAGGTACTTGACTTATATCTCGAATACCTGCGAGATGTCATGGGCCAGCAATTACATCCGGAACCTTCAGGTCCCGTGATCACTCCTGCTGTTGGCCGAGACAGTTCCTAGGTATTTTCCGGTGTGTTTTTTCTTTAACAGGGGTGCATGATTTTTAATTGGGGATTAGTGCCATATAATATAATATGATAACAGCCTGGCCTAAAAATGTTAGACAATGATTGGACACATTGTCTCTAATTAGTTTAAAGATCAATTTGATTAAAACACAGATCCTATTTCGTTTCGTTTTTATAGTCCAAAATTTCGTTTTTACTTGTCTTTACTACACTAGGATTTGGAAGAGTTATTATATAACCCGGATTCCTACTGATGTGGGGGGGGGGGGGGTGGATGGCCGAATGGTTAGCACGTGCGTGCTGTATCATAAAGCCTGTCATTGAGTCAACTGGCGTGGTTTCGAATCCCCGGTTGTACGTGACAAGGAGTAGGGTCGCCTGTCCAACCTCGTGGGTTTTCTCCGGGCCCTCCGGTTTCCTCCCACTGCTAAAGACCCCTACGCGCAAGCGAATTATTGAAATAAAATTAAACCATATGTTAGTCCCGAAATGACCTAGTTTGTGTCGAGTGGACGTTAAACCCCATTTTTCTCTCTCTCTCTCCCTACTGATGTGAGGGATAAGCCAATGAAACGTTCTGTTACGGTTAGTTTTTGGCGTGAGTTGCATGGAACAGTGGGTAATCCACTAGAAACATCAACGATTATTGGTTAATCAAATGCCTAACTGGTCAGATCTTCATGTAGTAGAGGCCATCAAAAGTATATAAAAAAAGAAACGAAATATAGATCTGTATTTTAATCAGACTGTTTAATGATATACTATTTAGAGATCAGAAAACTACAATTTAAAGATGAAATGGTCTTCAAAGCAGACCGAGATGTGTATATTTTTACCAATATACCTACTATATTAACTTACTTTTCTTGTTGAGACCGTTTCTTTTTTCTCTGACAGTAACAGATGAAGGCTATTGTTAATAGAATTATTAGAACAATTCCAACAGCTGCTGTGATACTGACCAGTATTTCCCATTTCATGTTACTATTTTCACATTTATCACCATAGTAACTATATAAATTATCACTGGAACACCTTTATATAAAAAGTATATAAATATTATATTACTATTTTCACAATGATCACCATTGTAACTATATAAATTATCACTTTTATATAATACATTATATTACTATTTTCATATTTATCACCATAGTAACTATATAAATTATCACTGGAACATCTTTATATAAAAAGTATATAAACATTATGTTACTATTATCACATTTATCACCATAGTAACTATATAAATTATCACTGGAAAACCTTTATATAAAAAATATATAAACATTATGTTACTATTATCACATTTATCACCATAGTAACTATATAAATTATCACTGGAAAACCTTTATATAAAAAATATATAAACATTATGTTACTATTATCACATTTATCACCATAGTAACTATATAAATTATCACTGGAAAACCTTTATATAAAAAATATATAAACATTATGTTACTATTATCACATATATCACCATAGGAACTATATAAATCATCACTGGAAAACCTTTATATGAAAGTATATAAATCTTATGTTACTAATTTAACACGTATCACAATGGCCATTCTTACTAAGGGCATCAACTAATGCAGTTAAGGGGGGTTGGATGGCCGAATGGTTAGCACGTGCGTGCTGTATCATAAGGCCTGTCATTGAGTCAACTGGCGTGGTTTCGAATCCCCGGTTGTACGTGGCAAGGAGTAGGGTCCGCCTGTCCAACCTCGTTGGTTTTCCCCGGGTCCTCCGGTTTCCTCCCACTGCTAAAGACCCCTACGCGCAAGCGAATTATTGAAATAAAATTAAACCATATGTTAGTCCCGAAATGACCTAGTTTGTGTCGAGTGGACGTTAAACCCCATTTCTCTCTCTCTAATGCAGTTAAGCTAGCTCACCTGCAGATGAGCCACAGCGAGTAAGGTGCGGGGTGCAATCCCAGTATTGGCCAAGAAAGTTGCCCGAGACTTTTCATTGTGACTTCCACTTGTCACTGGTGCACGAGGGAGGGTATGGCATTAAAAACGCCTAGTCGTTCCGATAGGAGAAAAAAACTAGGCTCTGTGTACACCTTGGCGTGCGCCTAAAATAACACTTTACAGTTGTAAATACAGCTGTACGGACAACTTGGCCTCCACTGCCCACTATATGCCGATCTTCGTAATCCAGATTTGTACAGAAACGTGGGACGTTAAAGCCCATTTCATTTCATTCACTCACCTACAAATTAATATTTCCTCGGTGAATTCGCATATCCCATGATCACCACAAGAAACATCGCCACATCGACTACGACAGACACTATCTTGACAGGTATAAGTCCAGTTACTGCACACTGTACCCACAGCGTTACAGACATCAGCAAATAATTTCTCAACTGTTTAAATGTATAATTGACCATATTAAAGAAGTAAATGCAGTTAAGTCCAATTAAGATGAGAATTTACTTTCGTTTCCGTTTACCTTCGAACTACAGTACAGTGTCGCTTGGAGAAAACGTGCTATTTACAGACTTGCGCTCCAAAAGACTAGAATATCCACACCGAATTAAAATATCGTTTGATTTACTAAATTATACCTGGGATGGGTCCTTTAATGTGAAACAAGTGCTATGGCTATAGACCTAAATCTGTGTTTGATCCCTGCATTGACGGAAAAAGTTCAACGGGATTTTCTGGTGTAGTTTCCCCTTGTCAGTGGTGCAGGACGAAGGGCCTGGCAAGGACAGCTGTCTAGTAGTTCGGATAGGACGAAAAGACGAGGTCTCGTGTATACATTGGCGTGCACCTTTGAAGTTGGAATTCGATATAAGAGTAGGCCATAGTGCCGCTGCCGGGGCAAAATGTCCCCCATAGCACACTGTATGGCGTATACCCGTCTTCGTTAGCCCAGTCGGAGTAGAACAGTAGGACGTTAAACCCCCTTTTCATTTCATTTCATTTCCTAAATCATTGAGAAATAATAAGAATTATCTTACATTGTGAAGAGTCTCCAGTATAAGTCATAGGGGCGTTATTATATTTTGTAGAGTTGATATATTCTGTTAATTCGGTTAATGTCTTCGCACTCTGTGTTTTATTCTTCACGACTTCATCGGCGTTTACCTCCACGACACCTTGTACGATAACACTTCCATTTCTACAAATACAAGCAGGGCATTTATTAGTCTCGGTCACCCAGAACCTCCTAGTCTTCAACATACGGAGGGTCTGGGAAGGTTGTCAATATTTGACGTAATGTCCATTGCCCATGCGTAACCGGGAGTGTGGTTTTTAATGTTATTGATCATCCGGACACAGATCACCAAAACGAAACAAGGGCCAAAGCTATTTTTAGTCTTCCTCGCCCTTTTCCTTTTCCCCCCTTTTGCATGGAGATTTTTGTTGACTTTTTGGTGTAGAATCGAGGAAAAGGGTTTGAAAATACATTTTCTGCCAGGTTTTGGTGAATATTCATAATTTTGATGCGGAAGGAGACAAGAGTTGAGAGGTTGGTTAGGTTGAAATGTAGGGCCTGAAATTGCATGTTTACTTGTCTCTACTTCCAGCTTGTGTATCTCAAGTTTTTCATGAAGAACCTCACACGTGCTTTTGGGCAAGTGGTTGCCACATGTTGCTCCATCTGTGGTAGAAAGCGTTCTACCCAACGAAAATTTGGGAAAAAGTTAGAGCCGGTCTAAGATACGAGAATTAACATTGGATTCAATGGGGAAATCTTTAGTGATCTGTGTCCATCTAGTCTCTTTAGCCAAGTCAAGTAAGAGTTGCGCCCCTTCCCACAATAAATCCCATAATTCTTGCATTAATATAAACAAACATGAATCGTGACGACGAATAAGGATTAATTTTAAAAGCAGAGATATGGCCCATGGAGAGAGAAATTTTACAATAAAAAATTAAGAGTGTTAGATATTGAACTCGCATGCAATCAAATGGGTTTTTTGAAATGACATTCTTAAATTAATTTCATGGGCGTAAACATCTTGTTTTAAGAGGAGTTACCTCCCTTAGACATTGTTTACAATAATGCGAAAGACCGGATTATCTAGCCAATTTTTCTCAAATGTTGACAACCTGTCCAGACTAATATTCGTAGAATATTTTTCTGGATGATAGAGACTAGGCATTTATCTAGTATGACATTAACTTATTGTCTTCGCCATCTGTGCTACACCCGAATGATGTAAATCCCGGCCATGGACTCGTTCGATCATTAGACATCGGGAAAAAGGTTTGTAATGCACCTCGATTCTACGTAACTTACATCTCTGGGGCCCGTTTCACCAAATTCTAACTAAGATAAAATCCAAGTTTTAGTAATTTGATTGGATAATATTAGATTGATTTTAGTGCTTAGCCAATCAAAATTGAAGTATCTACTAAAATTTAGATTTTTATCTTGAGTTAAAATTTCGTGAAACAGGCCCCAGCATTTTTAGGCCGAAAATGATTGTGACAAAGTGTTTCATAACTTGTATCATATTAAGACTATATATTATACATGTAAAATATTCATCCGAGCATGTGGTGATTTGTGTCATCAATGTCATCTGGGGAATTTAAATGACATTTTCCATCTTCAATCACGATATTGAATTGTGTTCATGACTCTTCACCTTCATACTTATTAAAATCTCAAAATTGTATAAACTCTATTATGTTTTCTTATCGCCAAAGATGTATTCTTGCAAATCATTTTTGATTTTCCGAGATTATGTTTTCGGGGTTTCAACGCCAAACCTCGCAAGTCAGTGTGAAAATTATATAGGTTGCTTCACTTTTTTCTTTGTGTATAGTTCATTTTGGTATTTACACATGGTAAGAACTTTATTCCAACGATTCTCTTGCGTACAAGCTTGGGATCGAAACCACGTGACTTGACTCAATGACATATCTTGTGATATAAATCACACGCGTTATACCACATGACCACCCAACCGCGCCGATTGTTATAGAAAGCTGGATTTTCCTTAGAAGGAAATTACTGTTTTTATTTTAAAGATATCATTCGTAGACATGGCAGTATGGTTATTAACAAAGATACATTACCTAACATTTTTTAAGATGTAAGTTATACATATTTCACATTGTTTCAATGTCAGATCTATCATCTATAATTAGAATATAATGAACATATAAAACACACATTAAATTATTTCAACAAGGAAATCAAATGAAATGGGGTTTAACGTCCTACTGTTCTGCCCGGACTGGGCTAATTAAGACGGGCATGCGCCATACAGTGTGCTATGAGGAAAATTTTGCCGGGTCAGAGCACAATGGTCTACTCCTGTATCGAATTCCAACTGCACGCCAATGTATACACGGGGCCTCGATATTTCGTCCCATCCGGATGACTAGACAGTTGTCCTTTTGTTTTATTCCTACAATGTATTCCTCTCTAGGTATCAAAAAAACTGAAGATATGAAGTTAATGCCTGGTATGTTGACTCCTTGAATGAAACGTAGCTTATCGATATTTTGACACAAGGGCGGGCACTTTAAGCTTTGAGAGGTGGTTATCCTATAGCCACTTCGCCCTTAATATATTAAACGAAGAAGATTATTATTCAAAAGCTTACAAATTTGGTGAAGTTTTTTTCATCGAAGTCTTTTATATCCATTTTCATCGTAATTTCTAATTCTACATCAAAATGAGCCTTTTCTATTAAAATAAGGAAAAAAGAACCCAAGAATATTTAATAAACATATAACTTCTTAGGTGTTAGAATTTGATTCAAAGATTAAAAAAAACAAACAAATAACCCACAATCAAACCGCCATATTTTTTGAGACTTCAAAATAATTATATCGTGACGTCATGGATGTTTGTTTTATTGCCACCATTTGTAACAGGCTGACAGGAGTTTGTCTATAATGAGTAAACCATTTAATTAAAAGAAAGACATTTACTGAAACTATTTTAAATTCCGATTGTCCGTGTTCACACGGCCACGAATTTGGCATGTTGCTTCATATTTCCTTTCATTGTTTTTATGAATCACTTTTCTAGAGAGCTATTTAACTATTTATTTGTGTAATTAATTGTAAGAATATCGATGCTAAGGTCGCTTTTTTACTGGTTACCTAGCCATATCGAGTACAAACAGGAACACAGTAAAAAGACGATGAACAGCATAAAATATGTTTCTTAGAAATAAGGTGAAATGACAGATGGCAACCTTTGGGCGATGGTCACTATGACCTTCGATATCTATGTTATAAAAGGAATAATTTAATATCACAAACCTATATTTGGTTTCTCTGTTGGATACTTTGAAACTGGTGACGGGGTCGTAGGAGAAAATGTTGGAAGAGCTGTGGATGTCAATATGTTACTAGAAGTTGGTACTGGACTAGAAGTCATCGTTGGTGAAATGGACGGTTTATCAAGAGGCGATGTGCTGGCCGAAGTCTCCGAGGGCAGGATATTTGATACAGTCCTACCAGAGTCTAGTGATCCGTGTGATGCTTCTAATGTCGACAGCCTGTTCTCCGAGGTGGTGACCAAAGACTGTGAGGGGGCTACATTCAGTACCGTACTACCAGAGTCTAGTGGACTGTTTGATACTGCACGTGTCGATAAGCTAGTAGTTGAAGTATCTGAAACAGGATGTGAAGATTCAATAACTGTCTGCAACAAGGACGTTGGTGTTGGTAGTATTACATTTCCAGTGTTAACATCTTGTGTTGAAGGATACATGGCTGGTGTCGTATCTATAGTAGTAGAAAGGGAAATGAAATTAACGGATGTTTAACGACCTACTGTTCTGCACCAACCAGCTAATGAAAACGAAAGTAGAATAGGGGCTGTAAGGATGTTACATTGAGAATGTTATCAGACAATTTCATTGGTTTTTGTATCAATATATCTATACACTGATCGTCACCACTTGTGCCGTTTGTCTAAAATACCAAACGATATCACACGAGGAGTAATACTAGGTCAGAAAATTGATTTATATGGACTGTGATGATTATAAAATATTGATTCCGTCATACGTATACATTTACAAAGTATCGTAATTATAAAAACATACACCTACCCTGGTAGTGATAGATGGCAACCTTGGAGCAATTGTCACCATCGGGTAACAATTTAGAAAGAATATATCACCTACCTGAGGATGTCCACATATCAGTAGCAACTGCATCGATTATTGAGGAATCCGTGGCTGTAGTTGATGGAGTCATTAGAAGACTATCTGTAGAACTTATGGGTACATTCACTGATATAGAGCCAGATGTTGACTCTTCAATACCAGAGATTTCGGTAGCTGATGTAATTGCTGTGGACTCCGGGGAAAGGGCATTTAACCCAGTACTACCAGATTCTAGTAGACTGTTTGATTCTTCAGAGTTCGACAAGCTGCTCTCAGAGGCGGTGACTGAAGACTCTGAGTGCATGAGAGTCGGAACAGTACTACCAGAGTCGAGTGGAGTTTTTGATGCTTCAAGCGCCGGCGAGTTACTCTCCAATAAAGAATCAACTGCATCGGTTATTGAGGAATCCGTGGCTGTGGTTGCTGAAGTCATTAGAAGAGTCTCTGTAGAACTGATGGGTACATTCACCGATATAGAATCAGATATTGACTCTTCAATACCCGAGATTTCGGTAGCTGATAAAAAAGCTGACAAATCTATGTTTGGTGATACAATTGAAGCAGCTGATGATTCCGATTCATTAGTATCATCACTTCTGTTGTTTGCCGTCGCCAATCCAATGCAATCTTTAATGAACAAGCATATACTACATTACATTTATGAACAAAGGAGTAATCTTGCAATACAATTCATTTAAGTTTGACACGCTCGTCTTCGAAAGCCACATTGAATGATCTAAGTCTTTTTTCTATAGGTCAATATAAAGAATTGAATTGGGATGATCTCAGGTGTTATATAGATTAACGAAAGGTTAACAATTAAAAGTGGACCCCCTCCACTCTCCCCAATTCATGTAACAACAAATAAAATCAAGGTTGATGGTTTTATATTGTGGTCGAATCATTGAGATCGTGTGATTCTAAGCACACGATAATGTTATGTACATGTATTTTTATTTGAGCTTACAAAAAAATGTTTGTTGCGTTATTGATTATTAAAATTATCAATTAAGAATCATTGATTTAGCAGTTGGCATA